GCACCTCAGAACAATCACTGCTATCTCGACTTCATTCAACCCTATCAGCAATCTGCAAATATGCAACAATTCCTAGTGTCAGTGGGTGAACTTGAAATTGGCTGCTTTCCAAGTCCCAGCCTTCATAGTATGTAAGTTGGAGATATCACAAAACATGAATCAGAGAGTGGGTCATGAAAAGATGCAGCTGATCACAACATTGTCCAAATCCGATTCAACCCAGCTATACGTTTGCATTGCATTGATTCCCAACAGATTAATTCATTAACATACTTCACATTTACAGAATTCCAATGGACAAACCTTACAGTACTGCAAATATTTCCAGTGGGACCAACTATTTTGTATTGAATGTTTCATTGACCGTTTCTGCTCTTTGTAGAATAATCCTACGCCTCTATTTTCTCAACAGAACCAAAGTCCCTCCCTCATTTCTAGGCTTCATCCAAACTGCATTTAATCAATCTTTTGTGACATTTCTTCCAATGAAACTACTGTGGTGCAGTTCCTTGAGTCTTTAACCAGCCAACCAGACATTTTCATAATCTCACTGCAGTAAATGTCTAAGATTTAGATTCATAGTAGAGAAAAATTCTTTCTGCAAGCCTCAAGAGATGTCAGATAGCAAGAGTGAAGTGAGCCAAGTTCTTGCCCTTTCTTAATAAGTGAATTTTTTTATTTTAGATTATCTAAGCATCTGATACACACAAACCTATTACAAAACCTAAACATTTTCAACTTTAGCTTCGAAGAACCCACACAGGTAAAATATTCCTCCACCTCAGAAGCAATGTTCTGAACTCTTCTCTGAGAGACATATTCCACTTCCTGAGTTCAATCAGCTTAAGAACAAATTGAAGAAACCCAAAGAAGGTGCTGAGAGTCAGGGACACAGCAGCTAATTATAAACGCTGCTCCCAATATGACCACATTGCCTGACTGATGAAAGTTCATAAACATGCAAAGATTGAGATAGTGACATAAAAAGGGACAAAGAATAGTTTTGCACAAAAGCTGAACCTAGGAAAAGGTGTAACATCCCATTACCCCCATCTCCGATAGCAGGTCAAAGAATTTTGACATTGTCGACAGGATGACTTGAAATGAAGTCTTTCAGTGGAAGAGGAGATAGCAGATACAGGAGTCAGAGTCAACACAGTGTGGAGCTGGAGGAACACAGCAGGTCAGGCAGCATCAGAGGAGCAGAAAAGTCAACATCTGTCATGTTTTGGCAGCTCCTTGGTAGAAAATTCCAAAATATACTGCACTGTCCCGCTCTCTCTTGATAGCTCTGCGTGTGTCTCCATTTCAAAATATTTTTGAACGTTCCCATGAAAGATATAATGGTATCTGTCCAATCCCTGCATCGATGCAATCAATACTCCAACATTCCCTCCACAAGTAAGCATTTTACCTGACCTTCTTCCCCATGATTAGTCTTCAGAGACACCTTAATCACTGATTCATCAGCGAGAGGATAATTAAGTTTCCTATTCTTCCTGACAGATTCCCTCATTATTAAATCTCCTGCTCCCTTTCTATGCTTCATTCAACATGATCCCAGAATCCCAAATGTCCTTTACAGTTTCTCCACATACAACATTATTCAGACAAATGCATACTGGAAGGAATGTACATTGATTCTGTTTTAATATTTTGACCATTTTGGGGGCCTGATAATGATGGTAACCTGCTAGATGAGAAACTGTTCTGAGTGATATAAGTGCTTCGATTTTGATCTTATTAAAATACAGTGAAAAGCTTCCAGTTGACACCAGGAAATGGCACCATTTTGCATAATTTAAGAATATTGAAAAAACAGACATAGCTTGACGAGAGTCCATCAGTCCTGGGCCGGCTCATCACTATCAACAATGTCTGCATTGCCATTCCTCCACCAACACTTCGCTGCCAAAGGGCAGTGGGGAGCTAGGGGATTGGGAAGCCTACAAAGACCAACAGAGAACAACTAAAAAAAGAAATAAGGAGGAAGAAGATTAAATATGAGGAAAAAGCTAGCCAGTAATATAAAAGAAGATCTGGGGAGGCAATGGCCTACTGGTATTATCGCTGGACTGTTAATCCAGAGACCCAGGTAATGTTCTGAGGACCAGGGTTCAAATCCTGCCATGGCAAATGGTGGAATTTGAATTTAATAAATATCTGGAATTAAGAATATAATGATGGCCATGAATCCATTGATGATTGTCAGGAAAAACCCATCTGGTTCACTAATGCCCTTTAGGGAAGGAAACTGCCATCCTTACCTGGTCTGGCCTACATGTGACTCCAGACCCACAGCAATGGGGTTGACTCTTAACTGCCCTCTGGGCAATTAGGGATGGGCAATAAATGCTGCCTGGCCAGCGACGCCCTCATCCCGTGAATGAATAAAAAAAAATTGCAAGAGTTTATATAGCTATATAAAGGGCAAAACAGGGGCAAAAGTGGATATTGGGCAACTGGAAAGGTAGTAATGGGGAAAAAAAGTACTTTGTGTCTGTCTTCACAGTGGATGACACCAGTAACATCCCAAAAATTCAAGACAGTTGGTGGGGGAGGCAACAGAGGTGAGTATGATGGTCATCACCAAGAAGAAGGTGCTAGAAAAACTGAAAGGTCTGAAGGTGGATAAATAACCTGGGCCAGATGGACTACACCCCAGAGTTCTGAAGGAGATAGCTGAAGGGATAATGGAGGCTTTAGTGGTGATCTTTCAGGAATCACTGGAGTCAGGGAGGGTCCGAGAGGACTGGAAAATCACTAATGTAGCCCCCATATTTAAGAAGGGAGTAAGGCAAAAGACTGAAAATTACAGGCCAATTAGCCTGACCTCAGTCGTTGGTACGATTTTGGAGTCCATTGTGAAGGATGAGATTTCTTAATACTTGAAAGTGCATGGTAAAATAGGGCAAAGTCAGCATGGTTTCATCAAGGGGAGGTAACGTGTGACATATCTGTTGGAATTCTTTGAGGAAGTAATGAGCAGGTTAGACCAAGGAGAGCCAATGGATGTCATCTACGTAGACTTCCAGAAGGCCTCTGACAAGGTGCTACACAGGAGGCTGCTCAGTAAGATAAGAGCCCATGGTGTTAGAGGCAAGGTACTATCATTGATAGAAGATTGGCTGTCTGGCAGGAAGCAGAGAGTGGGGATAAGAGGGTCCTTCTCATGATGGCAGCCGGTGACTAGTGTTCCAGAAGGGTCAGTGTTGGAATCACAACTTTTCACTTTATACATTAATGATCTAGATGAGGGAACTGAGGGCATTCTGGCTAAATTTGCAGAGAATACAAAGATAGGTGGAGGCACAGGTAATGTATTGAGAAGGTGGGGAGGTTGCAGAAGGATTTCAATAGGTTGGGGGAGTAGGTAAAGTGACAGATGGAATACAACGTGGGAAAGTGTGAGATCATGCACTTTGGTGGGAAGAATCGTGGCATAGACTATTTTCTAAATGGGGAGAAAATTCAGAAATCTGAATTCAGTACAAAGTGATTTGGGAGTCTTAGTCCAGGATTCTCTGAAGATTAACTTGCAGGTTGAGTCGGTAGTTAGGAAGGCAAGTGCACTGTTGCATTTATTTTGAGACGACTGGAATATAAAAGTAGGGATGTAGTTCTGAGGCTTTACAAGGCTCCGGTCAGAGAACATTTAGAACACTGTGAACAATTTTGGGTCCCATATCTCAGGAAGAATGTACTGGCCCTGGAGCGAGTTCAGAGGATGTTCACGAGAATGATCCCAGGAATGAAAGGCTTAATATGTGAGGAACGTTTGAGGACTCTGGGTTTATACTTGATGGAGTTTAGAAGGATGGGGAGGGATCTAATTGAAACTTACAGAACACTGACAGGCCTGGATAGAGTGGACATTGGGAAAATGTTTTCATTGGCAGGAGAGACTAGGACCCGAGGGCGCAGCCTTAGAGTAAAGGGAAGGCCCTTTAAAGCAGAGAAACATCTTCAGCCAAAGAGTGGTGAATCTATGGAACTCATTGCCACAGAAGGCTGTGGAGGCCAGGTCATTGAGTACATTTAAGACTGAGATAGATAGGTTCTTGATTGTTAAGGAAATCAAAAGTTATGGGGAGAAGGCAGGAGAATGGGGTTAAGAAGCTTATCAACCATGATTGAATGGCAGAGCAGACTCAATGGGCCGAATAGCCTTATTTCTGCTCCTATGTCTTATGGTCTAAACCAGACCCAACTAATATCAAGGTCTTTGAAGCCATGCCTTGATATCCAGTTATATGAGACTTTATAAATAGAGTTCAGGAGTCATACATTTACAGGGCAGAAAAAGACCCTTTAAATATTGAAATTAATTAAACTGGAACTGTAAAACATTAGGAAATATAATGGATATAATTTTAGTCTAACACCAGTTGGAGAGGTTGGTATGGTAACTACTCTGCCAAGGACCATAAGAAACTACAGAAGGTGGTGTGCACAGCCCAGACCATCACACAAGCCAATCTCCCATCTACACTTTTCGCTGCCTCAGGAAGGCAGCCAACATCAAAGACCCTCACACCCTGGTTATATTCCCTACCAACCTCTTCCATTAGGCAGAAGATACAGAAACTTAAAACACAAGTACCAACAAGTTCAAGAACAGCTTCTTCCCTGCTGTTATTAGACTGAGGAATGGACCTCTCCAACTGCAATTCTAATGTTGATCTTGCTTTTGCACACCTCTAGTGCAGCTGTAACCAGTATGCCTCACACTGTCTAAACAGCAAGAAGGGTCCAATCCCGAAACGTCAGCTTTCCTGCCCCTCTGATGCTGCTTGGCCTGCTGTGTTCATCCAGCTCTACACCTTGTTATCTCTGATCTCTATGTTCTTGTTTGCTGTGCTCTGCCTGTACTGCTCGCAAAACAAACATTTCGCTGTGCTTAGCTATGTGTGACAACAATAAATCTAATCAAATCAGTCTTCAACAGAATCAGTGTATCATGCCCTACTTGGAAAAAAACATATAGTGACCAAAATGTATCACAGCCATGTTTGTATGCTTTATTATCATATGGTAAAAATGGGCAATTTGAGAGAGTACAGTTTGTAAAACAAGTTGGTGCAACAGGACTAAAGTCTAAACTTCTCTATTAGTTGAAATTAGTAGTCAATGTTTGAGAACCGCAAGACAGTACAAAGTGACAATGGAATTTACACTTACAAAATTTTCACACAGGTCAACAGAAAACCTTCTCAAATATCAAAAACATTACTCTGGGGCCTGTATACATATTGCAAATCTTTACTGCTTGGCAGCTGTGCACAGTTAAGAGTATATATACTTCTATATATATATTTTTAAAAACAGCAAGTTAGTAACTCTAATAAATATTTGGCATTTCAATTTTCTCGACCTTCAGCTTAGAATCGCAACATATGATACAAGACTAGAAATGTTTAAATCTTTCCAAGCCAAATGGCTATATCTGGTCATTGAGAATGGATGTCTTTCGAATTCTTAAGATTGGCACCATGGCAAACTCTTATTTAGTAGGTGTGAAACGACCATCCAATTGTTGCATGAGATCGTCCTTCATTTCATTGGGTGTTCAATCGGAAAACAATGATTGCAACGAGGTTTCTCTGTGTCCAGATTTGAAAGAAACTATTAAAACTGCTAAATTCGGTGCCTCTTCTTCAGTTTGCTGCAGAAATTTGAAAGAATTGGTTACCTGTTAAAAAAAGAAAGCAATTGTACAGCAACAAAAACAGAAATTGCTGGAAAAGCTCAGCAGGTCTGGCAGCATCTGTGGAGAGAAATCACAGGAAGAGTCACCAGATCCGAAAGTTTAACTCTGGTTTTTCCCTTCAGAGATGCTACCAGACCTGATGAGCTTTTCCAGCAATCTCTGTTTATCTGTTTTACAGCATCCGCAGTTCTTTTGGTTTCAATTGTACAGTGGTCCTGTCATCTGGGCAGAATGTGTGTTAGATTTTGTACCTGTCTGATTTTCTAGAGTTCATAGAGTTTACAGAATCCCTACAGTGTGGAAACAGGCCCTTCAGCCCAACGAACCCTCACAGCATCTTACTCAGACCTATCCCCCTATAACCCACCTAATCTACACATCCCTGAATGCTACGGGCAATTTAGCATGGCCAATCCACCCAGCCTGCACATCTTTGGACTGTGGGAGGAAACCGGAGCACCCGGAGGAAACCCACGCAGACACGGGGAGAATATGCAAACTCCACACAGACAGTCGCCAGAGGCTGGAATCAAACCCAGGTCCCTGGCGCTGTGAGGCAGCAGTGCCAATCACTGGGCCACCGTGCTGCCCCTTTTTTCATATAAATACTATCCTTTTATTAAATATATCATTTGCACAGCTTTCCAACGTAACTCCATAATTATTCCTGCATTTATATTGAAGTTACAATAAAGCGTATGCTAGCTAAAGTTACGTAGGTGATCAAACATTCCCTTTCATTGAGAGGGGGTGTGTCCTTTACTTGCCAAGTTATTACGTCTACATACACAGTCACAATGACTCTTCGATGCTTATTTCAAAACAAACCAACTTGAGGAAGATGTAAATTTTCACAACTTTCCTAGTTATTGCAGTAATTATACTAAAAGAACTTGCCTTTAAAGAATATTGTCAAGACTGCAACCCAACAGCATCCAATTAATTTACTTGTGCGCAAGGAATATTACTTTTGTATAGAAGTGAAGACTCAGCTGCAGTAGAGCTATCTCCTACAATTATAATAGTGCATTGTAGAAGTCTAATGTTAAAACACTAACCCAAAGCAAATTTTAAAAATGTTTCAGTACAGGGACCAGGGATTTTGATAATGGGAAGATATAAATTTCCAGCACTTTGAACAACCGAGATACACATACTGATCGATTTCATTGTGACACACAGCAGAAACTGGACTTTACTATTGGGTTCATTGCACACAATGTCAACGTGCAGTGTATATTCCTAAATACCAACTGTGGATGGGAGTGTTGTGATCAATCTTCCTGGTGTCTAAACAAACAGTGCAACATCCAGGTCATGGCAGAACATTGGAAATCCAGGGAAATAAACAAATTCCCTTCCCCTGCTCACCACCATTCCAAAGGTGAGAGAGTCAGGCAGATTGTCTTAATCCAGGTCATTGTATCTGCATTCATCATGCTGAACATTTGGAAATAAACTCAAGGCTTCCTGCATGCAATTTACTGAAGGTTCTTCCATCCATCCATCCATTCAGAAAGGAAGCAGCCAAAGGGAACTCCTGCCTAGCGTCCCAGGACATTCCTTCGACCTAACTCTCATAGTATTTCATCCCTAGATGCGATTCCCATGCCCTTTCACAGTCTGGTGGAATATACCAAATTCAACCTATACTTTTCACACCCTTCATTCTTTAGCAGCACACACTGCACCGTGGATTAGGCTATAGAACACAGCAGCTAACAGAATGTGGCTTGGACCCTTACTTAGGCTCAGAACACATTGAATCCCTTGAGAAGCTTTTTTTCCTTGCTTTCATGTATATAAAGACATACCTCACAACTTGCACTTCACTCCAACACTGACTATCTCCATTATGATCTTATTTTTCTGTTGAACATTCTGCCAATGTTACAACATAGTTGACTTGGCTTCAGTGAGGACTCGAGTTAAGACATTCAGAGGGGCCTGTATCTTCAGAAGGACTTCAGTAACTACAAAGTACTGAAGTCAGGAGGAGACAAGGGCTAGTGGTTTTATGACTGGACTATTAATCCAGAGACCCAAGGTAAAGTTCTGGGGAAAGCTGAAAGAACTGCGGATGTTGTAAATCAGGAATAAAAACAGAAGTTGCCGGAAAAGCTCAGCAGGTCTGGCAGCATCTGGGAAGAAAAAAAGTCAGGGTTAATGTTTCAGGTCCGGTGACTTTTCCAGATCCAAAACGTTAACTCTGATTTTACTTCACAGATGCTGCCAGACCTGCTGAGCTTTTCCAGCAACTTCTGTTTTTGTTCCTGTTGTTAATGTTCTGGGGAGCCATGTTCAAAACCCGCCATAGCAGATAGTGGAATTTGAATTGAGAGTCTAATGATGACCTTGAAATCATGAAGAGAACATCTAGTTCACTACTGCCTTTTAGGGAAGGAAGTTGCTGGTCTAGCTACATGTGACCCCAAGCTCACAGCAATGTCACTGACTCTTCATTGCCTGTTCGCAACTAGGGATGGGCAATAAATGCTGCCCAGCCAGCAATACCCACACCCAGTGAATGAATAAAAAGGAAATATTAATGTGAGGCAGTCTTTCATTGTAATTGAGAAGGTTGCGTCAGTAATTTCACCAGACTAGGTATTCTAAGCAGATGGGGAACAAGAGGAGAAGATAATTTAACAAAATAGAAAGCACCCAACTTAAAAATTCGTAACTCATGTTGCACTATAATAGGACAGATACAACACACGGGTTACACAGGAACATGGAGCACTGAGACTGAAGTAACAGAGCTGAGGCAAAAGAAATAATTGGTGGGGATAGAATACGAGAAAGGACAAAAAAAATTGCACATGTTTTCTGAAGGAAGTTTGGAATAAAGAGCTTATTCAATACTTGGGACTTCATTGCTGGTGGAATGCCTTTTTGCAGAATCACATGACATTGCATCTCTAACCTTTTCATGAGCCCATCCTTGTTAGTGAAGCTGACAAGCTCAGAAAGAAAACTAATGTAACGCTAGAAAATGAATATGTTGACTGGTTACTGAATGAAGCAACAGGTGAATGGTCCCAATGTCCAGTGATCACTACAGACTAATCAATACTTACACCATGTCCGAACCAAACAAATAATCACTTTTCATTTAGTTGCCAATGGTCAAACCTGTAATAAATTAATAGCTATTCCTGCACAAAGACTTCATCCTACTTACTTTGTGGCCAACCTACATTAAAAAATAAATCATACTGAGCCTATGCTTTATTGACATAAATGAATGTACACTGAAATGCGGGCTCAGTTAGTGCTGGAGACCAGGAGCCATAAGGACAGAAAGGCCTCTCCCTTCCCTGCTCTACAATCAATTCATGTCAAACAGAGGCCCTGGAATTCCTGCCAGAGCAGAACATTGCACAAGAATTGTGGTGCAAGTGCGTCAAGCCTTTCAAAGGATAAATGAGTTCCAACAAAAGTTTATTGATCTGAAACAATAAGCCTGCTCTTCCCTCCTTCTCTACAGCTGTAGCACCTGACCCACCGAGAGTTCCAGTATATTTTCTCAAAATCTCCATCATGTGCAAGGCTTTGTCTTTTTTTAAATCTGACACTTGGCCAAAGCTATGGGTCTCAACTGGACTCTTCAATCAAAGGGTAAGGATGTCCAGCCAATCAGAAAGAAAGATTAAGAAATAGGTGGAACAGGCCATTCAGTCCCTCAACGAACAGGATGGACCTGCTCCAAACCTGAACTCTTCTTTCATGGCAGCTCCTGATAGCCCTCAAATCCCCGATATTTCACAAATCTATCTGCCTCCTCTTTAAATATTTTTAATGATCTAGCCCCCACAACACTGTGGCATAGAGAATCCCAGACATTCACGACCCTCTGGGAGAAGCAAGGTGTAGAGCTTACCATGAGGGAGTTGGTGGCACAGTGGAAATGTCACCAAACTAGTGAGATTGTCACTGGGCTAGCAATCACAAATCCCCGGCCAACGTCTGGGGGCCACGGGTTCAAATCCCACCACAGCAGCTGGTGAAATTCAAATTCAATAGAATCTGGGATAGAGAAGAAGTGATGACAATGTGACCAAAGCTGATTGTCATAAAAACCCATCCAGTCCACTAATGCCCTTTAGGGAAAAAAAAACTTGCTGTTTTTACCTGAGATAACAAGGTGTAGAGCTGGATGAACACAGCAGGCCAAGCAGCATCAGAGGAGCAGGAAGGCTGACGTTTCGGGCCTAGACCCTTCTTCAGAAACTAGGCCTG